TTTGCTTTGCAAATCAGGCACCTGGAATGAAATGCTGCAGCCCAATTTGCCTAAAGGAAATGTATCACAAGCCTCCCGTGTTTATTAAAAATCAAAAGTGGTGGAGAAGCTGTTGTCTTCACTGACCCCAGCCATTTTTTAATGTTTAACAACATTTTTATTGCTGTTTTTCCATCCAAGTCTCATACTCTTAATATGAAAACTTGCTAGTTTTTAAGTTTTTTAAATGTAAAATTTAAACTTGCTAGTTTAAATTTAAACTTTTTCAATTTAAACTTGCTAGTTTTTAAATTTTTTTTTTTGCTAGGAGCACAAACCCAGTGTGTTAATGCCAGTTCACCTTTGAGACAAGGCAAATGCCACTAAATTATACAGGAGCTGTTTGGGGATCTTGGATATTGTAAAACTGTTGAAAAGGAACTATGTGAGCTCTCAGCTTTTTCTCTAAACTGAAGTGAAATTCTGAGAAAAGGGAAGGTACATAAAACATCAGGAGCTGCCTGATGTGTCTCTTTTGACCTTTTTCTCATGTGAAAGCAAATGGAAAGTGCTTTTCTTTTGTTTCCAGCTTTACTGATTTCAAATAATGCCTTCAGAAATGCCTCTGAAAGACTTCCCAGGCCAGGTTTTGTGCCTTTATTTTTCAGAAAAGCTAAAAGGATGGGACTGTACTTGCTAAATCAGTTGGATTTATTTTATTTTGGAGCTCAGGGGGGTTTGTTACCCTGCCTTTGTTGAGGAGATGTCTCAGCTTGCCCTGCCAGAGCTCTGCTTGCTGTAAACAATCCTGAGTGCTGGTCCGGGGGTGGCTTCCAGAAAGCTCCTGGGATTGGGATTTTGGGATGCTGTGATACCCCAGTGTCTGTCTGTCTGTCTGTCCTGGAATTCCCTTGCTTTGGGGAGTGTTTAATTCCAACTACGAAATGTTTCTGATGTCTCTCCCAGGAATGTGCAGGACACAACACCCAAGGAATCACTGGGAGGAAAATCTGCTTCCTAAAACTCCTGAATATTCAGCCCAAACATACATTAAATAAACATGAATATACATGAATTAAACATTGCCTTAATAGTTTTAAACATTCAGACACTCGTCTGGAGAGGCTGAGCCTTCCCATGGTGGGAGAGGGTGTTCTGTGAGGGGCAGGGTGGGGTCATTGATGATTTTTGGGTTGAATGAGGTAAAATTGTGGCTGTGATGAGTCCCAGGAGCACCACAAGGAGCAGAGTCTGAGATATTTGGGCAAAGTCCTTGAGATATTTGGGAAAGCTTGAGGGACTTAGGACAAGGGTGTGGAGGGCCAGGATAAGGGGCACTTATCCAGGGTTCGTGTGGGCACAGAGGAGGGTTAGATGGGACACAGAGCAGCTGTGGCAGTGTCCAAGGCCAGGCTGGGCAGGGCTTGGAGCCCCTGGGACAGTGACGGTGTCCCGTGAGGGG